GCAGTTGAGGAGACCCAGAGAGGTAAAGTAACTGTGTCAGTGTTATAGCATAAGTCACCTAGTGTGATGAAGCAAAAAGTTGCACCTAGGCCTTTCTAACTCCAACAGTGATCTAGAGTGGGCTTAAATAATCTGGTAGCATTACTGGAAAAGATAGATTTTCACAATAGTTTGGTCATAACTATTGTGCAAGTCTGTGCCTAACAGGAGGAAATACTACGGGGTCCTGTGCCAACCTCACAATTGTTAGGTTTGAGCCCATCTCCTTGCGGGGGGGAGGGATCTTCCTCTTTTTTTGTTGACAATCCACTTTACCAAGCATGATATGATGTCCTGCTTCAGGGATTGCTCTATTCAGTCGAAGTGCATTTTCTCATATACTATTTTGTGTTATTGTCATTCTCAAACTTATACCTGACATGGAAGTTTACGTTTTTAGGATCCATTAAAGCTTCTCAGCATAATAACATTCAGGCTTATGAATTTTAGTTGTAGTTAAAATATTAACAGACACCTAATGAATAAAGCACTTGACTGCAAGGTCAGGTTGAACCACAAGGTCGGCAGTTCAAACTCACCAGCTGCTCCTTGGAAACCCTACACAGGGTTGCTATGAGTCGGAACTGACTCAATGACACTTAACAACAACAACAATCTTCAATATCAAGGCTCTGGTAGCTTAGTGGGTTATGCGTTGAGCTGCAAACTTGAAGGTCAGCAGTTTGAAGCCACCAGTGGCTCCTGAGGAGAAAGCTGAGGCTTTCTGCTCCTGTAAAGATGTATACCCTCAGAAACCCTATGCAGGGGCCACTAGGAGTCAGAGCTGACTTGATGACATCTAGCAGCACTAGCTGCAGCCTTCAGTTTCACTCTGAAGAATTAGCTCATAATGTCTGTTTATGTGTATGTATAAATAGTTGTTTTAAATGTGACTGTATTTCTACCTTCGTGATGGGGAGGGAAAGCATTAATAATATATAATATTAAGTTTACTTACATTGAACTACAGTAGACCTTCAGAGTAATAGTTGGATGATAACCTATCTCAAATCCTAATTATAATTTTTTTATGTTATAGAGGAATTTTCAGATGAACTTGCAGTTTTCTTTACATACTTTACCTGAAATATCTATAATGCAAAATACACATTTTAAAAGATTTACATTTGCGAAATCACATTTGCATGTAACTTTGATATTTTTGATATAGTGATATAAAGTAATAAGATAATTTTCAAATTAAATATCCATTTAAATACAATGTCTTCTCTTTACCTAATAATAAATTTTATATCATATGATATTACTCTTTGCTTTATTCACATCATTTTTTTTTCAGTTTTTATTGTGAATTGAGTGATAGTTTACATGGGAGAATGTCGGTTTTATACTCTTTTATCACTTCATTGCAATGATTACAATCTCCTCTGTGGATCATAGTTTAAAAGTATTTGCTTCTATTCCCTCTGTTTTTTTGGGGGGTGGATGTACACAAAAACACTCAGGAATATATAATTATTTAGACAACCAAAGGGCACATTCTGTAAGCCTACCTCCTGGCTGCCAGCATACAACTTTTCTCTTACCATGAATCTAGAGTCCTCAGCTGTTCCCTCTCTCCATGTCCTCATCTCTGCTTCTATCTTTGGTGTTGCTGCTTCTCTGGATAGGGCCCCACGTTCCACTCATGCTCTTCTCCCTTGATGGTACTAGGGTCCTCTGTTCCTGGACTGTAAGATTAACTACTTCCCCCTTTTCATTACAAAACTTTTACAGTTCTAGTCACATCAATTTTTGCATGAACATGACTCAACTTCAAAAGAGATTTAATGAAGCCTAACTGGCAACAGATTTTATGGAACAGTCTAGACCCAAGCTAAACATTGATGCACCTGCAGGATGAGGTGGAAGTGGCGTGAACTTTGGATTAGAAAGACCTTGTTGGCATCATTGCTTTCATACGTATCTTACTATGTAGGTCTGTGTGTGTTACTTTGTTTTTGTTCATTTGTTCCTCACCTGTAAATAGGGATACTAATTTACCCTCAGAGTTGTCACAAGGATTGAAATGCTGCAAACAAATGACTATTGGGTCTGCGGTGTAGACTCCCCTGCAGTGGCAGCCAGTGCTGGTGATCAGTATGCACTTTCTTATTGAACCCAGGTGCAGAATCAAATCCTGTTTAAAAATTTTCTAAGCTGTCACCAACAACTAGCTGGAGTTTACTTTGTTGTTCTTACTTAGCCCAGCTGCAGAATTGAATCCTGTTTAAAAATACTCTAGGTGATCACCGCACCGTAACTAGATGGAGTCAACATGTATCTCTTTATAAGTGTTAATCAAATATAAGTATATTTTTCACTACCACCTCCAACTTGTTTAGCATTGTATTATTTAAAAAGCTACAATAGTAGCTACAAAATAAGTGTTAGCATACATTGAGACCTGAGTTAGATATAGAAAAAGCCTGAGTTTCCTTTTGACATTGGAATCTGTGTCACTTGAAAAATACTTTTACAGAATTATATTCTTCTTTGTTTTCTTACCAAGTCCAAATATCTCTTGAGCTAGGCAGGCATCTAGCTTTTAAAATAGAACACTTAAAAAAAAATTTTTTTTTTTTTGAAAACTAGAATGTAGTTTCAGGATGATATGACAATGCACTTTGTTTTAAAATGGTGTAAAACAAAGATCTGATAATTTATGCAAAATGACTGGAAAACTTGGTCTTGTATATTTTGATTTACTCTTACAGTTCTTTTCCTTATAAAATGTTTCTTAAAACTGTAACAGCAAAGAAAGAAAGAAAAGATACTTTGGGCCTTGACATTTTCTGAAAACATGCTTATCTTTAAACTAGAAAATAGATGTGTCTGGGGAGGGTTCCTGTGGTACTCAGTATCTAATGTAATTAAACACTCACATACATACACAAACAAAATTGCCTTTTTCTTCCTAAGAAATTCTTCAGTTATATCCTATTGCTGGTTAGTATATAAAGACTGCATTATTTTCATTCAGCATATTTTTATATATAATGTCTAAAAACACGACTTTACTGAGATATTATATTACAGTTTCACAATAGAACAATTGATAATATCAAACAAAATAGTAGCTTAAAAAGGTGAGAATAACAGAAGTTGATGTTCTCTTAACTGAAAATAACATTTTGTTTTTTCAAACTGAATTCTAAGCTTGAAATAGGTTTGAAAATACTTCAGAGTACTGAGTGTTTTCCTGCTGGTTTTGTAAATCTGTTGTAACCACATTAATCATCTGAAAATTCCTGTTTAAATATCAAGGTTGCTTCTAAAATTTCAGCCCCTCCACTATCCGCTTGGTATTTTTGGCCAGTCTTAAATCCCTCTGCTCAACCCAAATGATAGGTTATTTAGTTTGTTTGAAACCTACTTGAAAATTTCCTTTCCTTTCCTCTTTTTTTTTTTTTTTAAACGTTGCCTTATTTACAGCTTTAAAAATCTTAAAATTATGAATCAAATCACATTACCTGTTTGAATTCTTTGTTGATCCCTGTATGTAGAGAAAAGTGCTGGGCTAGCCAGTATGCTTTATTCTGGAAACTGGTCTTCCTCCATAGATAAAGGCTGTTAACAGTGAGGGCATTCTCCTGCAGCTGAAAGCCAAGGGGAGGCTGGGAGAAGAAAGAGCAGAGAGGCCAGGACACCTGTTAGTAGGTGGAATTGCTCAGTGGGAGATGTGGTTTTGCTAACTGCAGGGCCCAGAAATGGCTAAGTCAGGTGTTGCTCATGGATCTTGGGGGGGAGGTTATTTTTTGTAGAAAAGTTGTTTTGTAAAAAGCTACTGTGAATGCTGTTCTTCCTTCATATGCCAAAAAGTGTTTTGCTTGGGTTTAAAGGAATGGAGAACACAATTGTGACTATTTTAGAGGTAAATTTATGCCCTTGATAAGCCTGATATTTTAGGGATGTGTAGTTAAAGACTTGGAGTCCTGGTGTGGTGTCATATGATAAGCATTGGACTGCTAACTGCAAGGTTGGTGGTTCAGACCCACCAGCCGCTCCTTGGAAACCCTATTCAGGATCACTATGAATTGGCACCAATTCGACAGCACTTAACAAGTTGAAAACTTGGGCAGAGCTTAGTTGCTTCATACAGTTGCTTCTGAAAGGGTGACATGTTTGTCCCTCCTACTGACTAGAGTGTTTTCTACCACACTGGGTAGGGTTTGCTGCCTCCTCTTTGTATCTTTAATACTAAACGTGGTAATTGGCACATGGTGGATGTGCAATAAAGAGCTGTTGAACTTTCTAGAACTTTCTAGACTGAACTGCAGTTTCCTAAGGTGGTTGGGTTGATAAGAACTGCCTCTCCACCTCCTGAGCCATGGACTATGTGTGTTGCCTTTGCTCATTGGAGTAGTTGAACAAGCTTTAACTAGAGAGTCATTTTAGTTTAATGAGCTTCCTGAGGAACATGGGCTTTATATTTACATTTAGAATAGCTCTGGCTCTCCCAGAAATAGGTATGGTTTATCTAGGAAGCAGAGGTCCCCTGGGAAGGTAGTGTGCTGGGAGGACAGCATGTGTGCTACCGTCATCTCCTTCCAGATTTCCCTAAATTCTGAAATGCACTCATGATTCCCACTGTGATTTGTGGAGAGCTTAGATCTAGCTGCTTGCTTCTGAGTTTTCTGTTTCTGGCAAGGTGAAGTCTGACACTACTATGTCATGAGTATGGGAAAGGTAATTGTGTTTTCTTGGAAGGCGCAAGGGCAGAGGTGGCAGTGTTATGTTAAGCCAGTTGTAAAGAAAAAATGTTTTACTTCAGTTGATCAATTTCCAGAAAATACAAAGTAGGTACCAAATAGTTGCAAATTAATGGTTTCAAAGTCAACTTTTGTACTGTTTCACAATAAAAACCCTGCTGGGTAATGCCTAATTAGAAGGAAATTTATGAGAATAACTGCATATTTAACTTACCTACCTATTATCTTTGTTTCTCTTGGACCGTGCAGGTACAACGGTGCCAGCCCACAGAGCCATCCTGGTGGCTCGTTGTGAAGTGATGGCAGCCATGTTTAATGGTAATTACATGGAAGCAAAGAGTGTTCTGATTCCAGTTTATGGTGTTTCCAAAGAGACTTTCCTGTCATTTTTAGAGTACCTATATACAGACTCCTGTTGCCCAGGTGAGCACTCTTAAGTGTTAGTAATATCTCACAATTCATTCTTGCCTTTTTACCTGTTTTGATAAATGGCTTTCTGGGAAATCTGGTTTTGTTTCAGTTTAGTCAGAATTGGCATCATGGACTGTGCTCAGCAGTTGGCAGTGATACTGGTACAACAATGAATTTTCAGTCCGTTCAAGTAGAAGAAGAGATTGGGTGCCCCTTAGGGGCTTTCAGACTCTGACATCATTTCATATGCTTTAGCCAAATGTAACAGTGTGGTGACTGGTATTGGCATCTTGTAAGTGGAGGGTGTCATGTGGTAACCAGTGATTACAGATTACAGCAGAGAGCTCTCTTCCCTAGAGGAGGAGTGCTGGCCAGTTGCTTTTATGGAACTGAATTCTGATTCACGTATCTTTAATACTTTGAATGTTCTAAGATCCCCTTGGCCTTCTCTCTACCTTAGAGGATGTATTTTATTTTTATTTTTTTAGCCCATCTTAGTTTGCCTTCTCCTTAAACATTTCCTAAGATTGCTAGAATGTCCCACAGACTTGTAGAATTTATTTCCCTATTTCTTTTACCTAGTACTGTCTTTGACTTGGTAGCAAAATCTATGGCACCTTCAAAATGGAGCACACCTTATAGGTGTACTGTAGCTGGAGGTACTTGGGAACATTGGCAGAATCCTTTCAGTAGGCCTAGAGTTTTAGGATGCAGGCATGGAATCTTTCTTCTGTTAATCTTTACCCTTTCTCCTTTGGCCACCAGATGGCTCCAACTACAAACAGACCTACAACAAGTCCCTTGGGGATCAGTCCAGAAGACTGAAACTTTGCTTACAGAACCTGGACAAGCACCTCAGCAAACATACAGAGAAAATACTCATTTGAGACCATGTCTCTCATTAGGTTCACTGCTTGATTTTTAGACGTGAATAGCTTCCTGTGTTTGTTAGTAAAATCTCTTATTTTAAGCAGGTCATGAGCCATCTAGTGACAGATTTTAGAAGTTCCAAAACAGAAAATTCCTTTTGTAATTGAATCATTTCTGGTCTTGCATCTAGCTATAGACCATTTTGGAGTGGGTTTCAGTTGTTACTACCAATGATAAAGACTAGCTTATCATATTTACTTAAGAAAAAAATGAAAGAATTGATTCCTATTCAAAATAAGTAGTAGTATTTATTTTACTATCTTAATCATGGAAAATTAGCATATTAAAACTTAAAATTTTATCAGATTTGAAATATAGTAGGGAAATTTTATTTCTTAATCATCTTCTCCCTAGAGTCATTGAAGCTTCTAATTTTAGGTTTTACTTGCTATGTAGAAAAAGTGCTTAGAAAAGCAAAACTAGTCATAGGACAAAACATTTTTAAAATGTGTAAAAGATGCAGGGGAAACTGAGTCAAAATAAATAACCAAGAAGTTGGACACTGGATCATACGCAATGAGAAAATAATAGAAGAGTAATGTATTCATATGTTAAATATTTATCATATATGATGTTCCTAGTTCCACAGCTGCAAAAGAATGCAAGGAGTTTAAGGTTATAACACATATAAAAATCAGACTTATAAAGAAGTATTAAAAACAAAATCTGTGGACTAAAGCTAGCAGAAGAAAATTGAAAGGATTTAGGTTAGCTATCAGGGAGATTTTTTTGGAGTCCTGGTATGGTGCTGTAAGTTAATGCACTAGACTGCAAAGTTGGTTTGAAACACAAGGTTGGCTGTTAAAGCTCACCAGCCGCTCCTCAGAAACCCTATACAAGATCGCTATAGGTCAGAACCTACTTGATGGCACTAATAACAACACCATCAGGGAGATTTACTCAATAGCCCTGGAATTGATTACTAAGGGTAAATATAGAATCATCCTTCCTGAGCAATTAAAAACAAAAAAAGATTCACTTCTCAGTGTAAAGGCTTACATTGATTCTTTCTGAAAATCGACTAGTAGTTTACAATGCTGACTCCTCCAAGACTTTTTCTAAGCATTCTGTTCTACATTTGATGATCCACTCAGTCTTATATTTTTTACAGTCATAAATGAAATGCCTGTTTTCCTTTCTTTCCTTTCTCTCATCAGCCGGCATTTTCCAAGCCATGTGTCTCCTGATCTGTGCTGAGATGTACCAAGTGTCCAGACTACAGCACATCTGTGAGCTGTTCATCATTACTCAATTACAGAGCATGCCCAGCCGGGAACTGGCCTCCATGAACCTGGATATAGTGGACCTGCTCAAAAAAGCCAAGGTAATTTGGCTCTGTGTCCAGTGATGGTGGTAGTCTTGGTGGTGGTGGTTTTTAATCTTGTAAAAAAATTATACTACTCTTGTTAAATTTTTTTGTTTATTAAGAAATATATTACTGCAAATTCAGCTAAATGATGATAAAGTGGCCTTGCAAAAATTTCTGTGGCTAGATTATTGTTAAGTGCCATTGAGTAGGTATCAACTCATAGTGACCCTATGGATAGCAGAACGAGACACTGCCCGATCCTGGGCCAACCTCACAGATGTTGCTACATTTGAGCCCATTGTTGCTGCCGCTGTGCCAATCCATCTCATTGGGAGTCTTCCTCTATGTACAGGTCCCTCCATGAGCACAATTAAGTGTTCTGGAGTACTCATTCTTCACAATGTTGTCCATATGTTGTCATGATTCACACAATCGAAAGCCTTTATGTAGTCAATAAAGCACAGGTAAACATCTTTCTGGTATTCTCTGCTTTCAGCCAAGATCAATCTGATGTCAGCAATGATAGCCCTCATTTCTCATCCTCTTCCGAATCTGGTTTGAATCTCTGGAAATTCTCTGTCAATGTATGGTTGAAACTATTTGTGAAATACATTTACCAAATTTTATGTGCATGAGACATTAATGATATTGTCCAATGATTCCCACATTCCATTGGGTCATCACTCTTTGAAATGGGTACAAATATGGATCTCTTCCAATCAGTTGACCACGTAGTTATCTTCCTAATTTCTGGGTGTAGATGAATGAGTGCCTTCAGTGCTGCATCAGTTTGTTGAAAGATTTCAGTTTGTATTCCATCAGTTCCTGGAGCCTTGTTCTTTACCAATGCCTTCAATGTGCCTTGGATTTCTTCCTTCAGTATCATTGACTCTTGGTCATTTGTTACCTGTTAAAATGGTTGAACATCAACCGTTTCTTTTTGGTACAGTGACTGTGTATTCCTGCCATCTTCTTTTAATGCTTTCTGCATCATTTAATAATTTGGTCATAGAATCCTTCAGTACTGCAAGTTGAAGCCTGATTTTTTCTTTAGTTTGCTCAGTTTGAGAAATGCTGAGTGTGTTCTTCCCTTTCAGTTTTCTAACTCCAGGTCTTTGCACATATCATTGTAATGTTTTACTTTGTCTTCTCCAGCTGATTTTTTTTTTCTTTTTTCATGTTTTATTGTGAATTATTGTCGAGGTCCTATGTCGGGGTCCTGCCTCGACAAGGAAGTGTGGGTGTCACGAAGAAGGGAGATCTGGTGGCGAAAGTGATAGAGAAAGAGAGACAAAATATATACAAAAAGACAGACACACAGATATGATGCAAGCTGGCAGGTAGACAGATCTGCAAACATTTTGCCTAGCATTGCCCAGCATTGCACAGCATTTCATGCAGAATTCACTCTACCTCAGCCTTTTATTCTCTTTTTTAGGGAGGGATTTGTTGCAAAGGAAGGAAGTAATTCACTCAGGGAGGATGTCACAAAGGGAGGATGTGATTAAGGCAGGATACAGAACTGAAATGTGATTAATCATTCAAAACAGGACATAATGATTCACAGGAACA